ACATACTGGGAATGAGATGCTGCCTTGTCCTGGGAGGCAGAGATGAAGGATGCCTCTGGCAGGAGGAAGCTTGCAGCCGCTCTCTTGGTCGCATACTCCATGTTTGAAAAAGTTTGGAAATGTGAAAAAAAGCAGTTATCGTGAAATGTGAAACAAAGCACAGTTCGCCGTCTCAGAATGTGAGTTCATAGGCATGGAGTCAACCGGATCCGCGTGTGCCCCTCGTAGACAACGCGCTGTCGCTGAGGACGGTGTTTGATTCTGCCTTAGAGAGTATACTGTTTTAGGTTTTTAGTACTGAGTCATAGAGCCCAAATGGTCTGTAAAAGTTAGAGTGCCTAGTCTGTAGCAAGGGCTGATAGGCCTGTTATGACCAATTTTATCTGGCTGGTAGCAGAGCAGCAATTTCTGGTCTGTAGAAGAAAGGTAACTCCAACAGGTTACTTGTTTTTATTGTCTTATAGTACATTAAACTAGTTGTTTACAGCTTAAGTTTTTAATCTGGCTATATTCAGTATATTTTTCTCTCGATTAGCGTATCTGACAACGTGCGATCTTGTGTATTCTGCTTTTAAAATAAATTTTAGCATCCTGCAGAATCCGGCTGAACTTAATAAGTTCAACAAAATGTTAACTCGTGCTCAGCTCTTTATACTTGTAAGGAATTTTTAATTGAATTTCTTGAAAACTATTACACTACATTTCAGCTATGGGCATGAGGCCAGTGTTCAGGGGTCTTTTAACACGCCAGGTGCTGTAGACAGCAGTCTTTCAGAGCTCTACATGTGGTATAATGATGTTACCTTGTGTGAACTTGTTATTTAATGCAGATCTATTTGCTAGTTCTTGGGCGGCCACGTTCTCATAAGCTCCAGTAAGCAACTTGCCGTCAAATTGGACCACCACTTTAGTGAGTCGAGGATTGCAAACTGTGTTCACAAAACCCCCAGCGAGATCTGTTGTCTTTCCCTATCCCCACCCTCCCTACAGTCACAGCAGAATCAACAACCTGACTTCTAAATACTGGGCCCTGGATTAGTTTCTGGCACTGGTAGCGGGTGGTTAGTGTGGCTGTAGAGGGGGGCCCTGTGGTAGTGAGGCCACGGTGTTACTGGTTGGTACCCATAGTTTGTTAAATTAAAAAATTTCTCACTTTGGAGGCGGGTGAGGCGCAGTCATGAGGTCAGGTGTTCGGACTTAGCTGCCAAAATAGTTGAAACCCATCTCTACTAAAAATACAAAAAATTAGCCGGGTGTTAGTGGCACACACCTGTATCCCAGGTACTCGGAGTCTGAGGCAGTGAGAATCCGTTTAACGCCAGGAGTCAGAGGTTGCAGGAAGTGTGAGATCGTGCCATGCACGCCAACCTGGGGCCAAAGAGGAAAACTCTGTCTCAAAAAAAACAAAAAACAAAAAAAAGCATTCCATTTCAAAAGAAAAAAGTCAGATGTAAAATTCCAGTTTTTCAGTGTCACATCCAGTTGTTTAGGTCAGATAAATAAAATACAAATTGATTTTTTATACGCTTCAATTCTGGACCTTGCCAACCATGATTTCCAGTAGCTTTTTGAGGGGTAGATACGTGGATATCCGACAGTACAATCAGGCCATCTTTGAATAGAGCCAGTTTGTTTGCTTTTTATTTCTTTGCCTTACTGTGTATCCTTGCCTTGTTCTTGATCCACAGGGGGAAGCATTCGGTCTGTGCAAGTGTCAGGTTAGCTGTTTTTTGGAGATGCCTTTATCATACTGAGGAAGTTCCCTCTTTTTCTAGTTGCTGAGAGTTGAATAGGTGATGAATCTGTTGATCACATGGGGCCATATGACTTGATCTGGCCAGAGAAATGTGAAGGAAGTCATAGACATCTCTTCTAGGTAGGTGCTTGAAGAGCCAGTGTAGGATTTGCTATGTTGTCCTCCCACTGCCGCTTCTGCTGTGATGAAGCATTGGGCATCAGTGCGAACAAGAAAGGGATTGTTGTTGGGGTAAGCCATGAGGTTCTGGAGCTGTTTGTTAATGTATTACAGTCAAAGGAGAAGGTTCTTGCCCGTAGGACAAACTCCTTGCCTTCATGGAGCTTACATTGTTGTGCAAGTGGGGCAGACAAATGCACGTAATGTCAGGTAGAGATTAGTGTAATGAAGAAGAGCAAGATCTGAGGCTCCAGCACGTTTTAGCTTTAGATAGGGTTTTTGTGGAAGGCCTCCTTAAATGAGGCAGCAATTGGCCTGAGAGCTGAATGAAGTGAGGGAGGAGCCATGAGGTGTCTGGGTAAGGAAGGGTCTTCCAGGTACAGGAACAGCTATGCACAGCCCTATGACAGGAACTCCAGACTCTCCTGGACAGGGAGGGTGTCAAAAAGGTGTCCTCCAAGCAAAAAGAGAAGGGCACATTCACCCAGTGACTCCTGTGGTTTAAGCCAGGGCTAGGCCAGAGAGGGCCGCTGCTGTGTGTTAGGCAGAAGATGACTAGTTGGCCATGGCCTGGCCAGACCGCTCCAATGCCAGCATTCTTCAGCTCCTGGGATTTCGAGCCATGGGGCAGGGGGCAAAGAGGAAAGAGGGAGTACCTGAATGTCCTGACATTCTGGCATAGGAGCTTTCTTTGAGAAAAATAATTTGACTGAACTTGAGTTTGTGAGATAGCTCATGACCATTACTTTCCTGAGTTATTCACCTTCAAACTCATCAACAGCTTCTACTGAGGAAGAAGCCTATACTCAACTCTACTGTCTAGTTCACCTCCTGTCTCCCCTCTCCCCTTACAGAACCCTGCTCTAGTTGCCCCAGATTTCTTTCAGTTCCTTCACAAAGTGACACTTTCTCTGGGCTGTTGGAAAGGCTGTTCCTTCTCCTGAGAACACTCTTCCTGCTTTCTCCTGGCTAACAGCTCTCAGGGCTCAACTTAAATGACAGTCCTCCTGGAAGCCTTCCCAGACAAAAGCCTGGGTGCTTCTGTCAAATGCCACCTTAGCACTGTCCTCCTAATAGCACTAATCACACTGTCTTGTAGCTTTAAAAAATTATCAAATAATTCAGACACCCAAAGAAGTATAAAAAATAATACAGGATGCACCCTATCACCCAACTTAAGCAATGAAACACTGTCAGTGAAGCCCTTTAGCTTCTCCTCCCTTTCTGCTCTCAACCCTTACTGGAATTTAGTGTTTATCTTTTTTTTTTTTTTTTTTATTTTTATGAGACGAAGTCTCGCTGGGTTGCCCAGGCTGGAGTGCAGTGGCCTGATCTCAGCTCCACTGCAAAGGCTCCACCCTGGGTTTACGCCATTCTCCTGCCTCAGCCTCCGGAGTAGCTGGGACTGCAGGCGCCCACCTCGGCCTGGCTAATTTTTCGTTTTTTAAGTAAGAGATGGGGTTTCCCGGGTTAGCTAGGAGATGTTCTCGAGTCTCCTGATCTGAATTCCGCCCATTAGTGTTTATCTTTTGAGACAGCTAGGTGAAGTTGGTCCC